AAGTAATGATATGGAAGAAAAAAATCACACTATTTTACAGTAGCTTTGGGTTTGTCATTTGAAATTCTAGTTTCAATTTGAATTAACCATTTCTAGTGGCCATTTTTTAAAAAGTCAAAGTGATTCTAAACTTCAGGGTTTTACCAGTGGTTCAGTGGAGTATTATGATGATGATGATGATGATGATGATGATGATGTAGCATTTAAATAGCACTACAAAATTTTTAGAACACTTTACAAATATTATCTCATTTGATCCACCTAACAATGCGGGGAGGTAGGTGCTATATTATCCCATTTTACAAATGAGGAAACTATATGACTTGCCCAGGGCAACACTTAAAGCTAGGATATATCTGAGGCAGTAGTTAAGTTTAAATGGTCAAACTGATGGTCAGGTATAGAAGTGACCTTATATTGGTTTTATATTTCAGATTACTCATCGACATGGTGCCTCGGGTGAGGCAGACCCGCCATTATGAAATGTTTGAATGAAGGTAGCTGGTGGGGGCAGAGCCCAGCTGTCCCATACCCTGCATCAGCAGCATGAGGACTCTCAAAAGTACAGGCAGATGGTGCCAACATTATTTAATTGAACATTCGATTTCTTTTGGGGGAATTTTCTTTTGTAAAGTCTGTTCTAATGCGAAGTAGATCCATCAAAACAGAGAAGTCTGTGCACTGCTCATCCCTCAGCACCACAGGCTCCCTTTCCTATTAAAGTGCATTACTGAAACACGTATAGGAGGGAGAGAGGTCTTAATTTTCCAGCCCTACTTAGTGGACACTTTTTCATTCTCTAGAGTGAAAATCTTCTCCTGGGTAGGATGAGACCTTTACTTGGTAATCGAGGCCCATTTTGAAAGAGTTTTACATGTGATGTGGGGAGCTCAGTGAGGTCAAGGGTACCCATAGCTTTCTCCTACCCAGCTATCCCTTCAGAGACATCCACGTATGGCCCTGTAATTTCTAACAATGTATTTAATTGGTTTCATACTGTTTTACTAATCTTAAATCTTAACCAATTAGTTTAAAAGAAGCTACTCTATTTTTAAAGTACTTAGTGACACGTATAAGAGCTTTGCATGGACCAACCAAGCACATGTCCCTTTTCAGTGACCTTCAGAACTTGAAAGTGACTATTAAAGCGGATCCATTTTTCAAGAAGTAAAAACTGAAGTCTTTTATTTGTAAAAAATAAAAATTATATATAAATCTGTATGCATATATCTATATGCCTGTTAAAAATGGTAAATGGTATATGATGGTGTTAGTGATGATACACTCTTCTCTAAAGAGTAGGATGTTTTCAGTTTGTGCAGTTTGTTAGATTAGACTCTTCTGTAAAAATGTTCATTCGACACAAGGCATTCTATACCTCTAACACTGTTGCTTCTCTAAAGTAATGGTGTATGATCAATAAAATATCTATTTTATATGGTATGGGGAGATAATATTTGGAAGTATTTTTCATTCTGCAAATGTGAGGCTGGTATTTTCCCTGGATGATGGTTTTCTTAATTTTTTTCTTTTGGTCTACGATTTCATTGCTGTGTTAAAAATTTCATCCACCAGTGGAGATAAAGAACATCTCTGCAGCTTTGTTTTAAAATTGCTTGGAGGCACCAGATTATGATTTGCCATGGGTCACATAGGTAATATGTATCAAATAATTATAGATCTTAAAGTAGAAGAACTTGAACCCAGGGCCTCCTAATACCAAATCTGGCCCTCTAGCCACTATGCAATACTGCCTCTCTAGATAGTGATTATAGAATCTGAGGAAAATAAGTAGATCCAACTGCATGTTATCCCTTTGTCTTTAATACTTATGTGTTCTAGGCTATTGGTAGTGAGAAGTTATGTGTGTGGGGATAGGGAACAAACACAGAACAACTCTGTGAGGTAGGTGCTATCATACCTCCAATTTTACAGTTGAGGCAAAATTTAGTGACTTACCCAGGGTCACATAGGTAGTAATTATCAGAAACCTTAGATGAAATCAGGTCTTTTTGACTCCTGGTCTAGCGATCTATTCACTGTGCCACCTCATTGCCTCTGGCAGTGAGTTTTCTGTCAAATATTTAAAGAGAGTAGGGAGCAGGAAAGGTACAATGGGATGAAAAGAATACCTTTTAGAATTAACTAAATGGTTGCTGAGGTCACTTTTAACTCTTAACTTCTGTGATTCTAGACCATTGGGTAGATGAACGACCCAACATTTTCATTTAGAGGTGAAGAACCTGGGAGCCTAGAGGTTGTAACTTATCATTAGAAGCCCAAGGTAACATTAGCAGAGCTGGCATTTGAACCAAGGTCCTCTGCTTTCAGAATCACATTTTTTTTTCTCACTCAACCAGGATGATTTAGCGGTCAAAAAAGTGAATATAAGCTACAGGCTGCACTCACAGATACATGGGTATTGTCACACTGCAGTCTGCCCTCATCTGCCTGTCTGGAACCATACGTTTGGTTCTGGGGATAACATTGTAAGAGGAATGTTGGTAAACCAGGGCATGAGCAGAGAAGAACAAGGGTAGAGAAGGATCTGGAAGAGTTGAAAGAATTTGGGCTATTTGATTTAGAAGTAAAAAGATGTGGGAGGAATGGTGTGAGGTGTTGTTCAGTCATGACCTCATTTAGGGTTTTTTGGGGCAAAGATACTGGAGTATCTTCCCTTCTCCAGCTCATTTTACAGATGAGAAAACTGAGGCAAACAGGGTTAAGTGACTTGCCCAGGATCACACAGCTAGTAAGTGTCTGAGACTGGTTTGAATTCATGAAGATGAGTCTTCCTGATTCCAAGTCCAGTGCTCTATCTACTGTACTACTTAGCTACCCTGGTATGGGTAGATGAGAGAAATGATAGATGTCTGCAAATATTTAAAAGATTGTCATGTTGAGGAGGGATTAAACCCATTTTCCTTGGCCTCAGAAAAATGGGGAATTGTCCAGGAAGGCAGTTTTTGGCTTAATATATAAAAAAACCTTCCTAACAATTACTGCTATTCAAAAATAATATGTGGAGTAATATTGAGGTTTAAGGTTTACAAAGTCCTTATCTCACTACAGCCCTGGGAAGGAGAGAGTACAAGAATTATCATCATTTTGGCTTGATGTGAATCTTTCTCCCCAGGTGCAGATCAATAGCCAGTCTGTGACTTAAGTCTTAGACCCTAAGAGGTTATGACTTGCCTGTGGTTACATAGCCAGTGTATGTCAGAAGTAGAATTTAGAGTCAGAAAGATAAAGATTCATGGCTGGCATTCCACATAATATGCCCTATTGCCCATCCATCTGATTTCATAGCAAACCGAGGCTCGGTGGCTTGCCAATGATTATACAACTAGTGTCAGAGTCAGAAACACGGTCTCAAATGCTGACTCAAAGTCCAGCACCATCTGCCATGCCACACCCCCTTTTGAGAGCCACCTTGTGATACAATGAGGCCCCCATGATTACGTGAAAGGTTAGGGTATATGATTTTTGAGGATCTTTCCAACTCTCAAGACTTCAGGGTCACAGAATTAAACATTTAGATCCAGAAGAGATCTTAGAGATCATCTGGTCAAACCTCCTTCATTTAGCAGCTTTTGGCCAAAATCACATAGGTAGCAAGAAGCACCGCTTAGGCTTTGAATTTAGTTCCTCCAACTCCAGGTATGATGTTTGTCCCACTCTACCACAGAACCGTGTGATTCAGTGTGGAGTCAATCTACAACCACCCCGCCTCTTGTAAAGGCAGGATGGGAAGGTGTAGTGTTCAGTGCTTTATTTTTTCCTATGTTCTGCTAATGTTACCTTGGGCTTCTAATGCTGTTACAAACTCGAGGTTCCAGTTTCTTCACCCCTAAAATGAAGATGTTGGTTAATTCATCTATCCAATGGTCTAATGGTATCACACCCTGTCTAGTCAGAGGGGGCCCCTAAGGCCATGGGGAGGACTACATAAAGGCTTGGTATCTCTTTACTTCAACTTTTTTTTTTTTGCTTTTTTGATGAGGCAGTTGGGGTTAAGTGACTTGCCTAGGGTCACACAGCTAGTATCAAGTGTCTGAGGCCAGATTTGAACTCAGGTCCTCCTGACTCCAAGGCCAGAGCTCTGTCCACTGTACCACCTAGATGCCCCTCTCACCTCAACTGCTTGCATCAAAGTTCAATGGAACTATCAGTTGTCTAGGTTTACATGGGGATATTTGGTCCAAGAATGAATCTGATGCCCCAATAGGGCATATTCTAGCCTACATGGACCACTCTTGGGGTTTTCTCAGTTTTCTCTCCACTAGCTCCAAAGCAAACCAGAGGTTAAAAGGCTCTGGAACTTCTTTCTAGCTCTGATTATTATTAAAATGGTATACAAATGAGAGCTTCTATTCTTTACAAAGCTACTTTCCTCAACCCAGGTGTAGGTAATAGAAATAATTATTTATATTTTAGATGGAAAGGGAAAAAGACATTTATATAGTGCCTATGTGGTCTTTTATTTCCTTCAGTCATGGTGCCTGACCTCGAAGGAGAACCAGGTTAATAAATAGGCTCTCCTCTTAGATACCAGGCTTGTTTTTAAGGAGTTTGTACAGGACAGTTAAATGCTTCAGTGAAAGTATATATATATGTGTGTGTGTGTGTGTGTGTGTGTGTGTGTGTGTGTGTGTGTGTGAATTTGGTCTTTCCTGGGCTATTTTACTAGCTGGCTCTTATCAGTGTATTATTACACAGGATTCAAATCATAAAATGGAGCTAGTTTCCCTAGTTCCCTTTTTGGATACACGTGGAGAGAGAACATACAGGGACATATGGTCTGAAGTGGGAGTAAGGAAGAGTAAAGGTATCCCCAGTGAATATTTTAAATCACTAAAGCTTTGGTTGTCCCCATTTTCTGGTCATGTCATCAACAACTAGTTTCAATGGGCTGTATTTTGAGCAACCAGATAGAATTCAAGTGAATACTGTACATGGATCCTGGATTTCTGCTCCAAACCAAAAATGAGTCCCACCAGTCACACAAGAAAAAAGTTTATTGAAAAATAAAGTTCTCCCTAGTTTTCTCTACAACAGTGAAAAACAAGCATCGCTTTCTATGCCAGTAAAGTACATTCAGACATTTACACCCTATTTTTAGAATCCCGGACTATTAAACCTCAGGAACTGAACAATAAGAAATAGTTGTAACCAGTATTTGGTGAGCTGTGAGCTGCTTGAAGAGTATAGTGGAACACACCAGTCTGCATATTTAAACTAAGCTTAAAAGTATCAAGGTTATGAATTCAAACTATAGTGGAAGGGACGTTACATCCTTTGGCATCAGATTTACCTTTCACAAATCCATTGCTTTTAATACCCGGGCAGACTGGTTTAAAACAAAAACAAACCCCCAGATTTCATGGATTTCAGCTGTCCTGTAGTTTGCTCCCTATTCTTGCTATCAGTTGTTTCTGAGGTACATGGAGATGTGTGGCAGAATTTCACCTAGCTAGACCCCCTTTAGCCTTAGGGTCCTCACCTCAATTACAAGCCTCTGCCCATAACATTTTTTACTTCCATATCTTTCTCCTCTCCCCCATTCCTCTAAAAGCACCATTTACAAAGGTAAAGTTGGCAACACTAGATATTAATTTCCTGAAATCCTTCTAAAAATGTGGCTTCCCTTTTGGTCTCTAGAGATTGTTCATTTGCCTACAATTCCCCATCCAGTGGGTAGAGATCCATTCCCATGACTTCATAAGTTCAAGTAATTGGGATGGAGATGGATGGCAATGCAATACATTCTTTTCCATCTTGCTTTTTTTGTATCCACAAAAGGGAAGAAAAAGTACAAAAATGTCCATTCAGTTGAAGATGCAGTCAAGGTTTTTATATGAAGGGATTAGTTGGTGTTCCTATATCTTTTAATTACGATCATATAAGGTGGGACATAGAACAGAAATAGATTTTTAAATCTATGATGTTCCTTCAAGGGAATTAGCAGGCAGACTTATCAGGTAAGGAAAAGTCTAGGAACCACAGAGGGAAAAAAATAACTGGCATTTCAGTAACAACGGATTTTATTTAACCTTGTCCAGTTCTTGACCTCTTTGGGAATTATACTTTGGAGAGGTAACATCCAACATTATGTTCACACCAGCTTTAAGGACAATTTCTGGAATTTGGTCTCCTTGGAACTTGAGCAACTACAAACAAAACTTTATTCCTTTAAGTTCGGTGCAAAGATCATGAGATGACTAACAACCTAGAATCCAATTGGGGTGATAACATGACTGCTCACAGTGGGTACTATGGATCCCCCCCCAACCAGCAGGGGGCAGCGAGATACCCTAGAAAGCAGGGAGAAAGAGATCAATTCTATATTGAGTATCTGAAATATAATAAAGTCTCATTTATTTGAAATTCAGAGGCAAAACAGTATTGATTGAAAAGGTACCTTTCATTCAATATACATTAAATAAAAAAAACCTGTATGAACGGTTCTAAATATACTTATGGATCAGGGTCCAGTTGTGAACAAGAGAGACCCATCCCTAAATTCTTGTTTCATTTAGGGCTAATATGCTACATTTTTCTAGTGAACCAACCTGTTTCAGGTCACAAAGTATTAGAAACTCATGAGTTAGAATTTAGATTAGCAAGGTCAAGTACTTAGGACAGTCTAGATGGATAATCTTTACTAGGTCAGTCAAGAATTGTATTTTCATTTAGACACTTTCAGATCAACATATATGGAGTGCATGTACCTTTACTATATTTAATGTCATGGAAGGGCCCAAAATGTTAAGGAATCACTTGGTCCTACGTAGCTTTTTGGAATGAACTACAGAAAGAGCCTGGCCTTTTGGCTATTAAAAATCTGGTTTTCCATTTCCCTTGGTGCCAACAAGAATCAAAGACAGTTTCCTTCAGCTGTGGGAAATGGCTACATTCTCAAATTACATGTGAATCTATTCCCATTTGCTTGTCTCTTCCAATGAAGGTGCTTAATAGCCATATAAGGCTGGATGGAGCTTGAGGAAAGCTGTTAAATGAATTTAATTAATAATGCTTTTAATTAATAAATAAAATAATCCAAGCTTAGGACAGAAACACACACAATGGAGCCTGTCGTTAACAAAATAAACAATTTTCTAACAAATGAGAATTTTTCATTAAAACAAACCCCTTTATTCATCGGGAAAGCAAAACAGTTTCTCGGGTTTAGACACAACCCAGTATTGTGAAAGAGGTAAAATGTTGAGGAAAACCAGCCAGACCTTTGGAAATAGCTGTCCCCAGGAGAATGATTTGAATTGGTCTTGTCTAAAGAACATATAATTGTAAACATTTTCCACTGGACCCTTAATTATGTACTACTCTCCTAAACTTGATCTGGGACTCACTGAAGTGTTGAGAAAATCTCCACTTCCAGTTAAAAAAAAAAAGAATCTTTCTTTAGGTCTTGCAAATACTTAAAAAACAGGCTCCCCCCCAAAAAAAAGTTATTCTCCTGTCTTCTCTTATGTAGCCAATAAGCTAATATCCCAGAGACAAACACTGAAAATCTTAGTAGATCTGAGGTTCTTCTTTTAATGCCAATCTAACTCATGGTAGCCATTTTTTCTTTGATCCCCTGAAGGGCTGAGGGAGCACCCCTTCTATGTCCTCCCACCATGAGACTGAGAACTGGGTGTGAACTCCTTTTTCTCACTCATGGCTCTCTTGATGAGGATTTTTGACCAAGGGGAGGTCACAGAAAGTGGCCCTTTGGAAGGAATGATGATAATCAATTTTTCCTATATGTTATTTTTTCCTGCTTTGTTCATTTGTGGGGACAGAAAGGGCATTTTGGAGAACACATACTACATACATCTACATTTAGAACAAGGTAGACTCAAGTGGCAGAACTGGTGTTCTGTTATACTCCTTCAAACAGCATCTGGCTCCCAACATATAACCCCAAAGAAAAATGAAAAGGCACATGATTTAAACAATAAATATAGCCTAGGAAACAGAATCTGATGTTTCTAAGCATGTCAGATTCTTTGAGAAAGGAACAGCTTGTGGGCAGCAGCAGCAACAAAAAAACTAAGTAAAAATGCAGAAAGCCTCTTCATAAATGTGCAAATCAAGTTGCATATATGAAATAAATGAGGTTTTTATTGGCATTTAAAAACAGTGTCTATTTCTCCACTTTACCTTTCAAAGGTAAGCTTTTTCTGTTAACCATCTTTAATAAATTATGTTAATTTTTTTTTCTTAAATTTTCTAAGATCTTAGGATCACAATGAAAAAAATCAGAAGTCACTTGGAACAAAAAGGTACAAAAACAAAGTCTAGGAGAGCTATGCTTACAGCTTAGGATAACATTGGTTATGCTTAGGGGTTTGCATCCCTCCCCCTCCCCCCCACCCCACACACATTGTCAATGACTACAAATTTGCTTAGGATTCCATATAGGCCTGCAATTGGCACAGACACAAAAGTTAGGGGGCAGGGATCTGAAGACTCCCTGGCCAAAAGGATGAGGGGCCTGTGTGACCAGGGCCCTCCTGATTCTCCCTCCCAAAGGGCTGACCTATAACTTATGACATAAGTCAATCCTTTTACCTTTCCCAGAACGGGAGAGTGGGGGAGGGAAATAATAGAAAGTTGTCATCTGCCTCCTTCAACAGCCAATTGACCAGATATGAATGCTCTTGAAACTCAGCCAATTCCAGTTGTGTCTTTGGACCTTGGTCCTGATGAAGGAGGCATAGGTCCAAATCTCATACCCGGGTTCTGGGAAAAATGCCCTGGGCAACCACCAGATTGCTGTGACACCATGATTCCCAGTAAAGTTTACAAAGCTAGCCCTCACAACAACCCTGTGAGGTAGGTAGTTCAAGTATCGTGATGCCAATTTTACAGAGAAGTTTAAGTGACTGTCCCAAGGTCACAAAGCAATAAATGTCAGAGCTGGGACTCTAACCCGGGCTTCTTCAGACTCTAAGACTAGTACTCTTCATTATAACACCCTGCAGGGTAACGCAAAGATAAGGCAAGAAATCTCTTCTTAGGCCTATATCCAGTGTGTGGCTGGGAAAAAGGGGGAAAAAAGAATTGGAACTATTTAATCTCAGAATTTTCAAAGCAGCAGCGGCTTCTCTCAGCTGTCTGACAGGGAGGCTCTACTGGAGGAAAACGGCATTCAGGAGCTGCCCCTGTGTCCTAGTGGCCAACTTCATCCCCGAACCCAGAAAGGAGACCCGCAAAGGAAACATGCCAGCTTCTCCTTTCGGAGAGAAGGCCTCTCTTTGTCAGTTTCCAATAGCTCTCTCCTCCAACATCGGGAAACCAGCAGAGTGCTGGGAAAGCCAGCCTTTGTCTCCAGTCAGCAAGAGCTGAGAAGGCAGGGGCTCCCTCTGCCGGCCTCAAAGCAGCACCGACAGCGCCTGGGCTTCTGGAACACAGTGCTCACAAGATGGCAGTGTCAGCTAGTCTATGGGGATGGGAAAACAGCTGGCTTCCTCTTGACTCTCTATACAATGTAGGCAGCAGGCTGTTAGTAGAATGCTGCCTTTCTCCACGTTCCCAATGTAGGTGATGGGTGCCTGAAATGTTATGAGAGAGTGGTGCAGGGGTGTGCCTATGTACCCACCCTGCCAAGGGATTTAAACAAGATCCCTCCTGAACTTGGTATAGCCCTCACCACAAGGCCCACAGAAGCAGCATCCTAAGTAAAGTTTCATGTCACAAATAAGTTGCTACTTATTTGATATTCCCTTACATTAAATGCCTATGACAGGGATCTCTCTCCTGTGACTAACCCTGCACCATTACTGCCCATGAATGACCAGGGCCGGTGAGGTTAGGGAGTGTGGAGCAGGGACAGTTAAGAAAACTCTAACTATGGGTCTTTGGCAGCCCATGAAGAGCTGAGGTCATACATTAGGTATAATTTAGGAGAACAAATGGGGTCACAAAGGCAGAGAGAAATCAAACTTTCCAGACACAAAGGCTCATTAGGAATGGTTCCTTCCTTGTCTTGTCTCTACCAATTCTGCAGACCACAGTGGGCATCAACTGTATAGAAGCCAAGTGCTCTCAAGGTGACCTAAGTATTTCTCAAATCTGAGTGGCATAATCCCTTCTGTTTCTTTCTACTGAACTAATCACAAAGAAAAGCCACTTAATTGCTTAAAATTCTTAGAATCCCAATGAGAGATGAGAGACAAGGAAGGAAGATTTGATGAAAGTATTCCCAGGGTCCATACTCCTTTGACAGAATATATTTCAGTTCTTTTATCTTCCTACCAGGAGACCCAAATTCAACAGCAACTTTCCTGACTTTGATTTAGATACCCCAAAAAACCTGTCAGCTGGCCACATGGAAATCCACAGAACTTTGTGGGATCACAAGTTAATTCAGATAAGGAGAGAACCGGGGACCACCTTCCTTTCTCAACCCTAATTCAGAGATGTTGGACTTTTTAAGAAATTGATCAGCCAATCAAAACAGCCATGTGTGATATAGGGCTAAGCAGACCGAATTGTTGCAATGGTGAGAGGATTCCTAGGGCAAAAAGAGGTGAAGTTCTGCCGGGTACATAAAGGCAAAGTTACATCTGTTCTATTCATTCACCCTTTCCCCTTGGCTTTTCCACAAGCATACACAGACCTCTGCTTAACCGACAAAACCAAAACAAAATGCTGCCACTTGAGAACCCAAAAAAAGTGAAGATTCAGGTGGAATAATTTACAGTAAAAGAAGCCTATCTTGTCTTTCTTCCCTCCCTGTCCTCTCTAATACTAGACCCTAAGGAAAAATATCACCTAACCTGAAATCTTTAGAATTTGCTCTGCTCAGGGAGGAGTGGGCAGGTTCTCTCTCAATGTCATAACATCATTCCTACCCATACAGTTTCACATTACTTCCCTCAAAGCCAAAAGGCTAGTAGGTCATTAAGTTTTAGAGTAGGTTTTTTACTTTTGTCTTTTCTATTTTCCTTCTCCCCTCCCACTTTATGCAATCAACTTTAGGTGAAGGGAAAGTACAGCAAACTGGCAAGCTAACATTAATATTATTCATACAACATTGATTCTTTGTACTGTCTTTTATAGATTACTGGAGCTGAAGGGGAAGAGAGATTTTTCTCTTGTAAAATTGCACCATCTGATGGGTTTGGGCTCTAGGCCCTTGGGACACTCCCCAAGCACTGCTATTCCCCATCATAAAACTAATCTTTTTCTCAGTTGCCTGAACTATCCCTCTTACTTTGCTGAAGAGATGTCCAGGTAAACTGACTAATGCCTTGGAGTGTACCATTCGGTTTTAAACAGAAAAGGCTTTTGTTTGTTCTACAGTTTGTCACTCTTTGGGAACCTTCTCAGCGTGCCCCTCGATCTAATTCCCTGACTGTCGCTGTACATCAAATGCTTGGCACCTCCTTCCCTTCCTCTGCTATCTCAAACTACGCTGGAATGCTATTTAGTGAAAGTAGAACATGGACAGCAGAAGGCAAAAAAATGCATTATTCCTTCCCTTCCTTCCCTAACCCTCCCTAGCCCTCCCACAAATAAATAAGTTAATCGATTTAGGAATTTTTCCCACACAAGAGTCTTCATGATCGTCTTAATTTTTTTTTTAAATGAAGCATGGAACTTCATTTATTTTTACCCAAGAGCAACTGGATGGTTTTGGAAGAGCCTCACCACAGTTGCTCACTGAAGATTTTTTTTAAAAATCCCGACTGTGAGAGAGTCAGTCCACTGCACTGTCTCTCTGCATTTTGTTGTCATTTAGAACTCCATTTTGTTGTTTTAACTCCACCTGTAGCAAAACCAACATCTAAACTAAAAGACCAAAGAGTTCTGGCAGTTGGGGCAGTCCTTGGACCACCCTATCTCTCCCTGCCCCCAGCTAGGTTCCTTCCCAGTTGAATCAGTTGGGGCCTGGGATTTTTGCTGCTATAGGCAGTCTTGACAGAGAGCTACTTGGCCCTTGATGTAGTCCCTGCAAGGGCATATTCTCTTGTGCTTGGGGTGGGCTCCTGCGCAGCTGAACAGCAAAAGATCACCTTGAAACACACAATGCTTTTTCTTGTCATCATACGAGGGCACCAGGATGTCATTGGTCAGTTCTGTAGTGGCATACCACCTCATACCTATAAAGAAGGACAGGGAGACATGGAGTTTATATCAAGGTTGTAGCTTATTTGCCACTAGTGTCCTGGAAATGAAACTGTTCCCTGGAAACTGTCCCTGGATTCCTTTGTTAGAAACTTGGCGAAGTCAGAGTATTCAATATGAAGGCAGAGAACCTGGGCTCAAGTACCAGGTCAGCTGCTTACAACCTATGCGGCTTACCTTCTTTGGGCCTCTGGTTTTTCATTTGTAAAAGGAGCAGGCTGATTAGATGATTTGTAAGGAACTTTTAAACCCTAAATCCTATGCTCTGGTGAGGGGCCTGGCCACAGAGCTTGCTAAAGGTAAACAAATCTTAACTAAAATGTTAACTATAAACGAAACTCAAGTTTTTGACATCACTATCAGTTGCCATTTGGTAGCCTTATGCTGGACATTATGAAATACACAATAAGAAATACTTTGTATTAAAGACATTGTGGTTCCCCTGACCACCAGAGAGCACAGTGGGACATCCTAGAAAGCAAGAAAGAATATACTATTCTTCTACTGAATATAAGAAATAGAGTAAAAATTTACTTATTTGAAATTTAGAGGGGCAAGAATAATTTTGGTTTAACCACAAATGTGATAGAATGACATCTACCCTGCAATCATTCACTCTGCTATCAGCCAGAGTCTGCTCAAACTCTTCCTGAAACTTCAAATGTCCTCCCTTTGCCTTTATACCTCTCAAATTCCTGCCTTTCCTCTGAAACCTAATTCTAAAATGCTACCTACCTCCTCCAAGAAGCCTTCCCTGATTCCCAAGGTTGCAAATTACTTTCTCCCTTGTACTTCCTGTAGTACTTCATTTTATAATTTGTGAATGAACTTAAAAGACTATGCACTGATCCCAAATGTGTGTGCGTCTTATTAGAAGGCTAGAAACTTCTTGAGAGGAGGGACTATTTTTAAACTAACTTTTGTATCCCTCCCTTCAGCACTGAACACTGCCCAGACTGGGTAGTGGTTGGCGCACAGTAGGCACTTGATATTTTTGCTGTTATTGCTCAGTTGTGTTCAATTCTTTGTGACCTTATTTGGGGTTTTCTTAACCAAGAGACTGGAGTGATTTGCCATTTTCTTCTTCAGATCATTTTACAGATGAGGAAACAGAGGCAAATACGGTTGTGATTTGAACAGGGTCACACAGCTAGTAAGCCATATTTGAACTCAGGTGTCCCTGATCACAGGCTTGGCATTCAATCCACTGGGCCACCTAGCTGCCCTAATAAAGATTTATTGTGTTTATATGTATACACACATACATATATGCATTATAACATGGAAATATCATGGCATAGTAAATAGCTTATTTGGAAGCCAGAAAGTTCCAGCTCGATTGCATGCCATCTATGTGTCCCTGGTCAAGGGGTATGTTGGTAAATGTATAACAACATGGTCTCCCCTCCAAAAATATTCAGAACACACTTTTTAGTTTTATCTTCATTATTAACACTATTAAGTCTAGACAATCGACAACACAATAAATCAAGCCTTGATAGCATTTGGTGATTTCCCAGGTGTAAATGATCACGCTGAAAATCCAACAATTGTTTTGGGCTGGCTCCATTACACCCTGGATCTGGCACAAGTCATTCAGCCTCTCAATGTTCTAGGCATCTAGAAGACTGCAAATTATAGAGGAGGTGCTGACCTGATCTAATAGGTATTTCCTCACCTGAGAATTCCCAACATGAGTAAAATCACTAGCCCAGGCCCTATTTCTAATGTGTACATTGCTTATCCTGTCCCTATGCCTATCTTATAATGTTCTATGGGAAAAGTGTTGGGTAAGAAATTAATATAACCTCTGATTCCTGCTTAGGTATTGCAAAATGATGCTGTGTTCCAATGTTAAGTCAACTCCTTCCAAAACACATGTCCCCATGTGGCTGGGCTACATTACCCTGGAAAGTCCAACCTTAGAGGAGTTAAGGACTTTGTACACTCACTCCCTGGAATCCTCTATGAAGCCAAAGAAACCCAGCTCAGTCAGCACATGTTAAGAGATGTAAAATCACGTCTCAGGAGGACATCCTAGTCTCTTATCTTGAAGTTGTTGTTGCTTAAAATTCCAGGCTAGGGGTACATAAGAGGTTTGTGACTTCTTTTGAACTCTCAACACTTTCAGGCTCAGAAGGCCAGGGAGAAGAAAGGCCATCCATCATGAGGGGATCAGAGAGGAAGAAGGGGTTTTACTGATTTCCTAAAAGGGAAAAGAATAAGTCTGAAACTCTGTGGATCATGCAAATCACAGTGGATACCTATTAACCTCTGGGCCTGGATCTTTTTCTCTTTGTGATTGGTTATGATGGAAAAAGAAAGCCTAGAAGCATCTCTCAATCCTGAGGGTTATCCAGAGAAGGGATATATGAGGATGGTTATTTTTTGGTAGCTCTGAAAAACTTCCTGAATCTCTCTCTCTCCAACCCGGTCCTCTCCCTACCAACAAGAAAAGGATCCTATGGAAGGATGCACTGAAGAGTTACGAGGAACTTTAGAGCTGTCCAGACTAACTCTTTTATTTTAATAAAGAAACCAAGCCTTGAGGAAGTTAAATGATGTGCCTAAGGTTACACAGGTAATAAACGGCAGAGGTGGATTTGAATCCAAGTTTTCTGACTTGGGTGCAAGTCCTCTTGAATCCAGTATACCTCCCACTATACCAATATTTACTGCCTTTGCCCTCAATTTGCCCAAAATGTATGGAGTCAGCTGGCATAGATGCTGACTCCACCAGTGAATTCAAAAGGAATGCACAACCCTTTCTCTGAGGGAGAGAGTAGCTAGAAAGAAGTGGCTCCAATGTGGAGCCTAAAGTCTGGGACCCACCTGGCAAGGTCAACATCTGGAATCAGTTCAAGGCTTAGATAACCTGAATCCATTCTTTTAGTATTAGACTAGAAGGCGAGATAATAAATCTATCTGGGTGAATTTAAATCTAATGAGTGGTGCCCCAAGAAATAGCTATTTTACTCAAGCCTGATTCAATCTACTACCCTGGGGTCTCATTATCTATGACACATCCTGCCTTAGTGTGGGAATTCTTTATTAACATGGGTTTGTCTTGGACACTGTCCAAAATAATTTAGTTATTGGAAGTACAGGAATGACCTCACTATTTCCTGGTGTCATCTACCACCTGGTTCCAGGGCTTGGAATCTGAATACAGCATTAAGAGAAAGGTTCTGGGTTGAAGGCCTCACTATCAGGCATGCTGCTTCCTAGGATTAGGGAGCTGGATTTCAAGAGCACACCTCAGACCAATGATGACAGCGGACGATAATCCAGCCAAGATTAGTGATAACTAACAAAGATGATTACAAAGCAGTTTATATCCATAGGGTTTGACATATGATATGGAGAAATTCACAAGGACAATGGATAATAGGCAATAAATGCTTTGATAATTTCTGCAAAGGACTCTCAGGGGGATGAGACTTTATGTTCAACCAGATAACTCACCACCATCCAACCTCCCTCTATTTGTATTAGCTACTGTTTAAGATCTCCTTACATTTATTATCTCCTGTGTTTTCCTAAGGACTCTATGATTTAACAGAGCACCTAAATCATCACTCTGACTTTACAGATGAGGCAACTGAGGCACAGAGAAGTTAAATTACTTCACCCAAGCTACCCAGAGAGTCAATCAGAGCTACATCTAGGGCCCAAGTATACTGAACTTCCACTAGAATCCCTGCCTTTCCACTACCTGTTACATACATGCACATATACTCTCACATGATCATGCATGCTCACATACACACTTTCCCCCAATTACATAAAATTGCTTCCCTGTAGCCTCTGAAAACACACTCCACCCCCCACCCCTCCAGCAGTCATGATCACAAATTCCCATAGGGCAGAGGCTATTTTTTCTGGAGCTGGGGCTTTTTGAGACAATCGGCATTTAGGCTACCATTAAGTGATCTTAGAAAAACAAAAGAATCACTCTCAAACATCCGCTTAGACCACCTGCTTCCTATCCAGCAATACAGGAAGTGACCCAAATCACAGGAATTTATCTCCTGTGCTTCTCAGTAATTTACAAGCATAAGATGAGACTGGCTCTCATATCAACTGCTGGCAACCAGTGCTGGGAAGGGTAATGTCTAGTGGTTGGAGATCATTTTAGCTTCACTGTCCCATGGAAACGCCTTCATTCATATTGTTTTCCTTATGAAAAATACTCTACCCCTTCTTTCCTCTGTTTATACAATCTTACTTATTCTTTCTATTACGTACAACTTGCTATTCCATTTAAATATATAATAAAGTTATCATGTAAATTTCTTTTTTTTCTTTCCATCCGCGATGGCTACCATTAGGGGTGTGTGTGTGTGTGTGTGTGTGTGTGTGTGTGTGTGTGTGTGTAAAACCATTCTAAACATATTTCTTTTTATCAGTTCTTTCTCTGGATGCAGATAGTGTTTTTCTTCATACGTTCTTCATAGTTAATTTGGGTATTTGTAATACCCAAAATGACTTATTTGTTCAAAGTTTTTCTTAAAACAACATTGCTGTTACTATAAACAATGTTTTCTCGATTCTGCTCATTTTGCTCTTCATTATTTCCTGCAAGTCTTTTTTTCTTTTTCTACGTTTTTTTTTAAGGCCTTGCTATTCTGTCATTCATTCAATCTTTCAGCAAAAGGTGCTTGAATTTTCTTGATCTCACATTCTTCTGAGTTCCCATACCATTTATAGTCCGTATGACTTCACTTAGCATTTAATTACATATGGCTGGCCACACTGTTTCATGTTGTTTCATTGGCATTAGTCTTCCCTGCTAAACTCCAAACTCCTTGAGGGCAGGGATCACAGAATTATAGAATGTGGGTACTGAGAAGAATCTTAGTTCATCTAGTTCAATCTCATTTTATAGATCAGGTAACCAAAGTCCAAGGACTCCTTCCTCACTTCCACTCTCCCTTCCTTCAAGATTCCTTCAAGTTTAAGCACTTTCTACAAT